AAAAAACAAATGTAATTGCAAAAAACTTGCAAAGCTAATTCCTATGTAACCAAAAAAATAAAGTATTGTCAGCCCCCAGAAGCCTTTTTTAATTCCAACCTCCTCCATCCATCCTCCTTTAGGGTGGCCACTGTCCTAACTTTTGCAAAGACCATCCCTTGCTTTTCTGTTTATCCCCAAACATGCACAGTCTAACCTGGTTTTGAACTATGTATTAATGGAATTGTACCTCAGGTACTTACTTGGTTCTTGCCTCTCTAGCTCATCGTTTCTGAGTTCCTCTGTATTGTTGCATGTCACTGTTGTTCACTGAGTTCTTCACCCATTGAATAAATATGTCACAGTTTACACCACAGTTTGTTTATCTATCCTGTATATGCTGAAGGACATTTGGGGTATTTACGAGTACTGCTCTGAAGATTCTGGAACTTCCTGTTAGTACCCAGGGGCACATGTTTCTCTAGGGCAAATGGAGCGAGTGCAAAGCAGTTCCCAGGGATGTATAGCCTCAATCTTACTAGAAAATGCTACTACTTCAGAAGTGGCTGAAGCAATGTGCACTCCCTCTGCCCCGTGTGAGAGTTCTTAGTGGCCCACACCCTCAGCAACATCCGGCACTATCTTACTTGTTTATTTCTGTCCATCTGGTGGGTGTGTGATGGTATCTCATTGTGGTTTAATTTGGATTTCTCTGACCACTGAGGAAGTGGAGCACATTCTCGTTCATTTATTGGGATTTGAATGTCTTCCTTTATGAAGTGTCTCTTAAGAATTTTGCCCATTTTTGTCTCATGGGTTTTCTGGGTTTTACTATTAATACTTCATAGAAATTCTTTGTGTAGCCTAGGTATGAGCTCCTTGGAAATTATGTGTGTGCCTCCTATGCATACATCTGGAGAAAACTCAAATTCAAAAAGACACATGCACCCCAATGTTCATTTCAGCACTATTTACAATAGTCAAGACATGGAAGAAAACAAAATGTTTCGACTGGTAAAAGGATAAAGAAGATGCAATGTGTGTATATATATATATGTATATGTATATATGTATATGTGTATACACATAATGGAATACTTATCAGCCATAAAAAAGAATGAGATAACACCATTTGCAGCCACATGGATGGATTTACATCATCATACCAAGTGAAGTCAGAAAAAGACAAATATCATACAGTATTTGTATGTGGAATCTAAACAAAAATGATACAAATGAACTTATTCGCAATGCAGAAATAGACTCACAGACACCGAGAAAAATCTTATGGTCACCAAAGGGGAAAGGACAGGAGGAATAAACTGGGAATTTGGGGTTAACAGATGCACACTACTATATGTAAAATGTTAACAGATAACAAACAAGGACCTGCTATAAAGCACAGGGAACTATTCAGTATCTTATAATAACCTATAATGCAAAATAATCTGAAAAAGAGTAGGCAGATAGATATGTATAATTGAACCACCTTGCTGGACATCCGAAACATAACTCAAGTATACTTCAGTTAAAAACTCATGTATGTGGTACAGGTGGTCGCACTGTTTGGCTTTTCTTTTCATTTCCTTTGTAACATCTTATGATCAAGTAGAAGGCCCTACATTTATTGTAGAGGAATATAACTATCTTTTCCTTAATGGTTAATTCTTTCTCAGTCTTACTCCAAGGTCATGAAGATAATGTCACTATCATGTTCTGAAAATTTTATACCTTGTCTTGTGTATGTGTGTATTTACACATGTATTCATAAAGGAGATTTATTAAAAGGGATTGGATCATGCAACTGTAGAGGCTGACTAGTCCCTAGATCTGCAAGGGAGTTGGCAAGCTGGAGACCCAGGAGAGGCAAAGATGCAAGTCCTCCCCCAAAGGCCAGTAGGTTCAAGTCCCAGGAAAAGCCAAAAGTATGGAGAAGACTGTTATTAATACCATGTCTAAATTTGTACAGCTTGCCAGACAACAGGCCAATAAATCGAGAGATGTTTTTGGGGGGCAAGGAATAACTACTTTATTCAGAAAGCAAGCTGACCAAAAAGATAGTGGACTAGTGTCCCAAAGAACCATCTTACCTCAGTGAGACTTCAGGCTTCTTTTATATTAAAAGGAGAGGGTGGAGTATGGTTGGTAGTTACAAATTTCTTGGTATTGGAATCCGTTGTCCTTGCAGCTGTCCATGTAGGTCAGGTCATGATGTTCCTGTAAACCTCAAATGGAGCAAATGTTATTTTCTGTTCTGAAATTTTTTATCTCTATATGAATGGGAATGTGTTATACTTTTAAAGGTCAGAGCCTTGGGACTGGGTTTTCCTGTTTATTTCAAGCTATAGGCAACATTCTTAACACACCAAAAGCAGTAGAATATAAACATTAAAGTAAAAGAAACAGACCTAATATGAATTTAGATTTATTCTTCCCTATTTCAAAAATGATGCTCCAGTTTGCAAACAGTCAAGCAAGAGAAATTCCATATTTCTGGGAGAGGCTCAACCATTTTTTCCCCCATTAGTGTCTTCAACTGATTGGATAAGGCCCACCCACACTAAGGGAGAGCAACTGCTTTACTTAGTCTGCTGGTTTAAATGTTAAGCTCACTGAAAACACTCACAGAAACACCCAAAATAATGTTTGATCAAATACCTGGGAACACCATAGCCTAGTCAAGCTGGCACACAAAATTAAACATCACACTCAGGGGAGTCCTTTTATGGCAATTATTTCTTGACCCATCAATTCTGCTCTTAGATGAGCCCCCCAAATGTTGCTATTTTTAGCAAATGCGTCCCTCAGTTTCCTCAGAGAACTTCCTCCTGTGGAAATAGGCAAAGACCACCCAAGTGAAAAAAGTAAAGTCTGGCTCGAGCCAGAGTCAGCCACCACGACCAGTGTCTGGTGGAGACTCGAGGCAGGCAGAGGACTGGGGAGCTTTGTGGCGGGCAGAGGGACCGCTCTGGAGCACCGTGCTCAGAGGCTGGGGCCCCAGGGCAGCTGGGGGTGGACCAGCTACAAGTGGGGCATCCCATGTCATTGGTTGAAGGGCATAGCTGTCTTTCTCTGGTTGGTCGTGATTTTGAAGCAGAGGCAAACATTAGGGAAACTAATCCCATCCTGGTCATTCGGGGCCAATTGTTATAGGCGTGGATGTTTCACTTTCTGAATTGTCACTAGAGACAGAGGTCTGACTTCCTAAAATAATGGTGGGCAGCAACTGGCTTCCTGGGATGGCTGCTTCAGAGAAAGGGTCATTTTCCTGGGCTGGTTGCTGCAAGTCGTGGGTCAGCGTTCTGTTTTTGTATACGGATGGCCAAGCTATCATCTGCTTGTATAATCAGCCTGTCACTTCTTAGCAGGTAATGAAAGAAAGCATGAAGCCCACTTGGCGTTCAGCTTGGTTCATGTGTTTTTAGCTATAAAATTAAGTTAGGATCAGGCATCTGACTCAGAGATGGGGAAGATAATTACTAAATGATCCAAATTCATTGAAATGTTTTTCACATGATTTCCAAGAAAGGGTCTGAGTGATTTGAAGATAGACTCTTTGTTTAGTGAAATATTTCAAATAACACAGATTGAAGTTTGAGGAAGTCAAATATTCAAGGTCTCTCACTTAACTGAAGTAGGCTGCAGTGTGGTAAATCTCCATCGTGACTCCAGTATTCACTTCTGCGGGGAGGGAAGGGGCAAGCTGCTTTTCCTAAAAACAAAAGTGCAGGAATCACTGAGACTGGTACAATTCAGGTAAATGAGTATGTACTTAACTATGATTTTAAAATACATATTTCGATTTGTGCAAACATCTTCTATTCTTTTCTAAACATCACACAGCATTTTTCTACAAATCTGGATTGAGTTCATTCACTTTAGCTTTCATCCAACTTTCCTGGAGTCTATCAGCCCAAAGAAGGCCGTTCTAGGATTCTTCAGACGTCCCTCCAGAGCAGTAATCAGGAGTAAGCATAATTAGAGAGTGAGGCACCCAGAGAAGGCACCTTCGCCCCGTCTCATGGCAGCTAAACACTGTCCCAGCCCATCCTGTCTGTGTGGCAGTTGCTCGGGAGTCACTTCTGCGTGTGAGTTTAAGAAGGTGTCTGTCCATAGAGGTGACATCACATCTGGAGCGCTCAGTGTTTCCAAGGCCAAGTTTATAAATTCAGTGCCTCACAATGCCAGCTACCTTCACACCAGAAAGAAATGGAGTCGGCTTCTGAGCCTCCGCCTCCCCAGACCCAGGTATTTCAAGTGGGGCAGGCCTCATGAGAAACAGATGGATGGAAGCTTTCAGTGCAAAAACCAAGCAGGAATGGGGGTCAGCCAGGCAGCCTGTCCCTGACCTTTGGGCATGAGGCCCCACCTGGAGTCTGGGCCCAGAAGTCCCACGGGCCGGGGCAGTCCTGGGCCCGGTGCTCACAGCCCACCTGGTCCCCTGGGGAGGGTCTTGCCCTTCCTGCTCTCGTCTTCCCCGTGGGAGCCAGCTCTAGGGCTTCTCCGACTCACCCACCGAGTGCAGGCACCCTGAAGCCTTTTCCCAAAGGGTTCGCCAGGGTCCGCCCGGGACTGGGCTCCCGGAGAACTGATGCTCCAGAAAGTATTGCATTTTACCCTGATGCTGCTTCAAGGGACAGCACGGCTGTTGTCAAATACGAACTTCCTAATTTAACTCTCCTCTCCCATGTCCACCAGATGTTACAGTCCTGGGGCCCACACGCCTGTGTGTTTCTGGAAGAGAGCGGCTCTCCCCTGGATGTCGTGTGGGTCATCATCTGACGTCTCCTGGGTCCCATGGGGAGCTCAGGTGGGGGTCCAGAGGCTGGTGACCCCAGGAGAGCAGCGAGAGAAAGAGCCCCTATTCCCACACGTGTGCTCCCCAGCCTGCAGTGCATGGGCGGGGGCCTTAAGCACTACTAGCAAACCTGCAGGGCCTTCTAAGGGGAAAGTCTGGGTGGAGCGGAGGGGGTCAGGGTGCCCTGCCCAGGGTGTGGAACACTGCCTGCCCCAGGGCCTCGATGGAACGCCAGCCCAAAGGGGGCCATCCTGGACAATGTTCCCAGGAGGCCTCCAGGACCCAGGACATGGTCCACAGCCCCCTCCCCCCCACGCCCCACTTCCCGGCGAGATGTAGATACCCACAAGCTCCTGCCATTAAAGCAGCCGGGGCGGGCGGGGCGCTGCGGCAGTCTGGCGGTGCTCTGCCTACCTGGTTGGCAAGAGGTATGGGAACGGGTCATTGAATTAGGACACCAGGGTGGTCCTCAGCTGGCCTCTCCTGACACCACATGCTCCCACCCGGGACAGGTGGTCCGGCAGAGCCCCGGCCCACATGGGCTTCACACCCGGTCCAGACTCCAAGTTACACGTGAATCTCTGCAGTCCAGATGAGCTCAGGTGACCCCCAAAGTCCCCAGTTAAAAACAGCCTCGGGTAATTTAGGGAGAAACGCTTGCCCTGGCCTGAGATGCAGCCCATAGGGCGTGCACTGGGCGGGTCGGGGAGGGGCGGGGCCTCAGGTGGGCGGGGTGGGGCGTGGTCGGCGGGGACCTGGGGAGAGGGGTGGAGGGGCGAGGGGTGGAGGGCCGTGGTCAGCAGGGGCCTGGGGAGGGGGGCCTGCACCGGCACAGGAGGCGACCCTACACGCGGGGCACCAGACTTGCAATGGGGGTGATGTTTCCAGGGGTCCCCACCAAAGGCCCCTTTGGGACTCCGGTGCCACGAGGTCAGCAGGACTGGCTCCACGCTGGTCCTTCTGGGCTGGAAGCTGACTGCTCTGTCGCCTCTGCCCCACGCCCTGCACCTCCCTGACCCCTCGGGCCCAGGCTCAGGGCAGACGAGGTTCAGAATCTAGCTGGGTGGAGGAGGGCATAACCCTGAGGAACCCTCTCTTCCCTCCTCCAGCAGCAGGCTGGCACCTGAGCCATCTTCCAGGTATACCCGGGGCCGTCACCTGGGTGGGACAGGAAAGAGGGGGCAGGCTATTGGTGATGCCCCAGAGGCCCGCACCTCCCCCTTCACTCCCCTGGACTTCAGAGCCAGCGCTTTGACCACTCTTGGGGAGTATCTGCCTGGCCCCCTAGGACCCTCATCTGCAAGGATTCTGGGGTGGAGCTGGGGGCAGGCAGGGGCCACACAGCAGCTGATCTCTGAGAGACTTGGAGCCCCTCTGATCCTGTGAACTGGGTCTGCTTAATGTGCAATAAGACCCCGAAGATCACCCTGCAACTGGGCCGCCCCACCATCCTATGTGGTCCCCACCATCAGGAGGGCTGCCCGAGTGTTGGGCAAGGCTGGGCGCTGTGGAAGCACAATTTGCAGACGTAAAGTAGAACGTGAGGCTGATCCCTTACCTGCTGCAGGGAGAGGGTCAAACAAAACAAAAACCCCAAACAGAATAGATTTCGCAACTGCAGGAGGAAGCAGCTTTGTAAGTGCCCAACGAGAGGCTAATTAGAGACTTCAACTGGAGCTTTGCAAATGAATTATTTACAATTCTTCAGAGGGAAATGATTATAATAATAACCTTTGCAATTCCAAAATTAAGCTTATTATGCTCTTTTCCTCTGCTCCAGAAATTCTCTGAGGTCTGTCATCAAGCAGAAAGCGAGGAGTGAGGCCAGTCCTCTCCCCCCGGGGTGGGTCGGTGGGGGGAAATGGCACCCCGTGGGCCCCTGCTGGGCTGGCCCCCAGTATGGACCGGCGATACCAGGCGTTTAAAAGGGAAAGCTGCGGAATTGTCCTTTATGCCTCCCCCACATTTCCTCTGATTTAAGGATGCTCTGCTCTCTCAGTCAGGACTCCAAGAGTTGCAGAGGCTCAAAGAAGAAACGAAAGCCTCTACTCCCATCAGAGGCAGACCCTGGAGTTGCCAGATTTACAACAAAATAAGCGACACAGCTGTTATGAAACTAACCAAAATGAAGGGTGACTGACCGCATCTTCCTTGCCCGCATCGGCGGCTGTCTGATTGGAAATTAAGGGTCTGTTTCTTTACCATGCAGAGCTGCAGAGTCGTGGCATGAAAGGGGTGGGGACCACAGGCTGATTTGACCCCCCGGGGGTGCAGAGCCTGCGCTGGTCCCCAGAGGGTAGCCTTGCCCTCCCTCAGCAGTGATAAGCCACTTCCCAGCACCCCGCGGGTCCTGCAAACACGTCTGTCCCTCATTTCCAGCCTCATCTCCAACCTCAGCCCACTCACATATGGGGCTGCTCTGGGGCAGGCCTCAGGCTGCCAGTATCAGAATCTAATACACCCAGCATCAGCTCAGAGCTGCCGTCAGAGGCCCGAGAACCTGCAAGGGCACAGAGGTGTTAGGCTGGAAGTACCCAGGCCCTATGGCCAGTTCAAGCCAGAAAACCTGGACGGGCGTTATTGCGGTCCCCACCGCGGCCATGCGTCCAGACCCCGGGGCAGTGAGATGCTGCTATGGATGGACACAGATGGCCCTGTGCTGTCCCGGATCACACAGACGGCCAGGGCTGCAGGGGAGGCGGGCACAGCACAGCCCCAGGGAAGCCGCAGCCAGCCGGCTGCCCAGGAGTGCCACCTCCAGGGTTACTCCAGGCCCAGCGCTCCTCCGCTCTCCTGGGTCTTTCTCCCCCTTTCCTCAGGAATCCCCACCACACAAGGTCCCTAAGTCAGCCTTAGGCTGGCTCACACACCCTGCTGTCCCCGGACGCACTCCCCAGAGTAGGGTCGAGGGTTGACCTCACCCTTGCCCTGTCTCGCTACCCTCTGCCCTCTGTCGTAGTGGTGCCCCCGTGCGTGTATCTTCCGAGCAGGCGCATGTGGACTCTGACTTTGGGGATCTATTTCTCTGGCTCTCGCCATCCACTCCACCTGTCATCCTGGGTCTGCCCCCACCCACCTGAGAGGGAAGGACGTCTCCCCAGGGACACCTCTCCCCAGTCATTCTCCACTCCTCTTTGAACTGCCCTTCCCAAATGGTGGTGCCTTCACATCTCTTTGCAACACTGGCCTCCAGGAGTGGCTGCACTCTTGTTGTTTAGTCACTAAGACGTGTCTGACTCTTTGTGTCCCCATGGACTGTAGCCCACCTGGCTCCTCTGTCCATGGGATTCTCCAGGCCAGAATACTGGAGTGGGTTGTCATTTCCTCCTCCAAGGAGTCTCCCCAGTCCCAGGATCAAACCTGTGTCTCCTGCACTTCCTTCACTGGTGGGCAGATTCTTTACCACTGAACCACCTGGGAATCCTGATGACCATGATACATGGGAGTTATGTCCTCCTGTGGACAGAAATAAACATGGACAGTTAAGTGAAGGTGCTATGATCTGAATGTTTGTTTCTTCCCAAAATGGATATATTGAAATCCTAATGTCCAGGGCGATGATCTTAGGAGGTGGGGCCTTTGGGAGGTGATTAGGTCATGAGGGTGAAGCCCTCCTGAATGGGATTGGTGCTCTTATCAAAGTGGCTCCCAGAGCTCCCTGGCCCCTTCGAACCTGAGAGGACACAGTGAGAAGGTGCTGGCTGAATGAAGAATCGGGCCCCACCAGAACCTGACCATGCTGGCCCCTTGGTCTCAGACTTCCCAGCCTCCAGGATGGTGAGCAATGAATTCCTGTGGTCTATGAGAATTTGCCTGCAGTGCAGGAGACTGAGGTTTGTTCCCTGGGTTGGGAAGATCCCCTGGAGAAGGACATGGCAACCCACTCCAGTATTCTTGCCTGGAAAATTCCATGGACAGAGGACCTTGGAGGGCTACAGTCCATGGGTTGCAAGAGTTGGACATGATTTAGTGAGTAAACCCTCACCACCACGGGCCCTCCAGCAGCGACATTTTGTCACAGCCACCAGAATGGATAAGACAGCGTTTTCCCAACCTGGGGGCGATGGGGCATTGTTCTCTCACATATCAACATTGAGCAGCTGGCACAGGTTTATTTTCTATCTGTTTTTGGTTTTGTGAGTTTTTTCAATAGAAACCTCAGGCTTGTCAGAGGATAACCCAGAAAACCAGCATTAATCCCAAAACTGGTAAGGGCAGGAAGAGTGGAAGAAGCTACAGAGGACCCCAGGTCTGTGGGGAAACAGAACGGGGCACATCAGTGACACTGAACTCTCTGCAGTGAGATGGCTTCCAAATGGCTGGGCACCCATCACTTTCAGCATCAAAACTGTGATGCTTTTCGGTAGGAATCTTTCTTTTCAAAGGGAATACCCACTTCTCCTGCCTCTTAAGGGAAGCAAACTAACCAGTAGCCTTCTCTCCAAGGACTCAAGTTTGCCAGCATGAAGACAGGCCCTCCATTGGACTGGGACCCAGCAAGTTGTCAGGGTTCGGTAGATGGGGGTTTGCCCAAGACTTCAGGACACGCTGGGCACCAGGAGGCCTTGCTGGGAGCTTCCTGAATCCTCCGCAGTGAATCAGTGTCCCAAACTAGAGCTGGGAGCTGTGTTGAAGCTGGGTACGTGGCGGGTTTGTGGTACTCTCTACTTTTATATATTTGGAGTTTTTCATAATAAAAAATGTAACTGTTTTCCTATTTTGTATGCTTCCCTGGGGGCTCAGGTGGTAAAGAATCCGCCTGCAATGTGGGAGACCCAGGTTTGATCCCTGAGTTGGAAAGATCCTCTGGAGAAGGGAATGGCAACCCATTCCAATGCACTTGCCTGGAGGATTCCATGGACAGAGGAGCCTGGCAACCTGCAGTTCTTGGGGTCACAAAGAGTCAGACAAGACTGAGCATGTTTTGTATAGCTTTTCCTGCCTTCTAGGGAAAACCGTGAGATCAGGCTCCTCAGATGTCAGCTGTTGCTGCTTCAGGCAAACTTGCTGCTTCTCCTCAGTCAGGAGGCAGCAACTGGATATTCACACCCGCGAGCATCTTGCAGGTTCTGGCTGAAGGAGGGGTGGGCTCTTGCTGCCTGGACTCCCTTCTGTCTCCCCAACAGCCTTTCCTGCCTCATTAGCGCTCCAGCTGGGTGAGGTGTGCTTCAGCTTCCTTCCTCACTGTAGGAGGGAGGGATGGAGAAGGGGAGTGAGGTCAGCAGAGACCTAAATGCCCTGAAAAAGAATACATGCGGCTTTCTTTATAACTGTGGGTGGGGAAATGCTTTCTAGCCATGACTAAAAACCCAGACCCAATTAGGGAGAGCATGCAATCAAGGCAAAGAGGAGTTTAAAAGATAATCACTGGAGGGAAATATTTGCAACACATTTCACAGATAATGGCCTAATATTCCCTGGCATGGCC